AGATATTAGAAGGAACACCAAAAGTGAAGGCAATACGGATTTCAAGATGCAGCCACTCCTATGATGCAAGGAGTTATTCAGTGCGCCCAGGTTGCAGATCTTGATTGCACCACTCTGGTACCAACCCACCCCATGGGTTGGTGAATGGTCTTCTCTTTGGTTGGTCCACCACTGGCCACGTGCGAAAAAAGACAAAATCATGGCCTGTATCTTTCCGCCTTCTAGCTGAGCTACAACATACACCCACCATTTTTCTTATGCATTTTTTGGTGAGTATTGCAGCGGAGAGGCCCTATGTTTCATGCTCAACCTTATCCCCCCCCCAACCCCGGCTTTTCGTCCACGCTTTGGCCACATGACAGCACACGTTTATGGGCAGGGCCCATTGGTGTGGTAGTTAGTTTAAGATGTGGGGCTTTTTGAGGGCAGGTGCACATAATGCCGCCTGTACCTGTTGCGCCTGTCCTTCTGTGCCAACCACGCGTTGTAACACATTATAGTCGAGTTTACCCTCAGCTTGAAGGTGGAAATACACACTTCCACTTTCTTTCTCTTTTTCATGTGTGGGTAATGGTGGACTGAGGCCCTATACGTATGTGCACTTCGGTTGGTTGGTTCGCACACCTTTTCTTTTCTTTTTTGTGGGTTTGAAGTCGTCGGTTTTCAAGGCCTGTATTCATACTGATGAGCCCAAACCCACAGAGTGAGGCCCTATACATATGTGCACTTCGGTAGGGAATGAAACGAATGTACTGTGTCGCGAATGGCATCAAGCGTGGAGCTTCATGGATAGTAAGGCTAGTGTGAGAACCCAACAACCCCCCCCCGCCAGCTCCCCCCCCCCGGCCGGCATTTCCAAACAGATCAGCCAGATGATGGATGACCCTGGTTGTAGGTAGATACATCCATGAAGCTCCACGTGTGTGTACACTCTTGCTTGGAGGGGTTTCTGACTGAATTGGCCCAATTTGAATAGTCTTCCTGGGGGATAAAGCCAGATAATGAGCACATGGCTTTGATGAAGTAAGGGCATACTCGCACTTGAAGTTTTGTTGGATGGGGTTGAACAACCCTAGTTGCAGGTATAGATATGACCACGAGTGTGTGTGTGCGTTTGCTCGGAAGGGGACTGAATGCGATTCTGAAAGGTCTCTCCTACTGAAATTGGCCCAATTTAAGTGAGTCTTCCGAGGGGGGATAACGATATGGCATTGTTCCAATTTCCAATTTCTTTTTGTCTTTGCTTGTGCTTTGAAAAGGAGGTAGTCCATGGCATTATTTTTGTATAACAACGTGTCTGATTCGGCATGGTTCGAACTCGTGACCTGTTTTACAAATAGTTTTACATGTTTGTACAACTTAGTCACATCGGCACAGTCCTGTTTGAGTTTGGAGAGCACGCATCTGAGCGGATATTGAATGACGTGTGGCACCATTTCTCCATGTATGTGTGTCATCCTTGGTTGCGCATGGGGCCATGCTAATCAAGCTTCGCCGAATCGTTCCAAATTTTGTTGGCTCTTATGTCTCAAAGGACAGGATGTGCGTGTGTGTGGGGGGGGTTCTTTAAGAGACCGCATTATTTTTTTTATTACAGTGAAAGAGCGCAAACGCTACCGTTATTATATCCACCTGATTGGACCGAACTAAGGATGGCCGGTTTATTAACAGTCACATGTACGTAGCATTTGGCTACACGGGCCCGATCGCCGAGACTTTATGCAAGGCATCTCACTCGTTAATCGGATGAAAAGATAATGGCCAACCTCACCACTGACTTTGTGTGTGGAATTTTGACAATTCACACAAAGCGAAATTAATAGTCATTTGTAAGGACAACGGGCCCAGTACCCATCGGTCTGTATACAAGGAAGAGGGTACGAATGGCATGTGACGAGGGTAGGAATCGGAGAATGGTGGAGGTGGAGGATGAAAAGGACCACCTCCCATCTCCGATACAGTGGCCAACACGCCTTTCAACCTGCCCTGATTGGAAGTAATAGCGGAGTGTAGGGTCCATGCCAACCTTCTCTTTGTTGTTTCAAGTTTTATAGTTTTGATCGATGTAGCCTTTTTTATTATTTGTTTCAAGTTAGTTAGTTAGGTCATATGTTTCAAAATAGTGTGACAATCCTATTGGATCAAGATAGCGAACGAGAAGATAAGTATCCTATTATTAAATCACCAACGCCGCCCCCTCCTCTAGAACTCGTGGATCAAGATAGCGAACAAGGGGGGTACCAGGGTGTGTGCAAAGTTTCAAGTACCCCAGCTTTGGCAATTCTTAACTCTCCGTTCCGCTGACAAAAAATTCGGCAAAAGTCAAGCACGGGGGTCAGGGCCTGCTGTATGAGGGGATTTCTTTTGATAACTAGACGAAGAGGTTTTCACCCATGAAGGAATACTTGTGCCGAACCGAATGCATACGTCAACCAGAACTGCTGTGACCAGGTAGGCCTGACATTTCTGGCTGGGCAGGCTGGGTTTGCTAGCTTTTTCAGGTTGGGCAACATAAAAAAAGAAAAGAAGGTTCTGTGGTAGTGGTGCTTTTTTAATAGGCTGTAACTATTCAAGTTATGGCCACTGGACCGAGCTGCGGCTGCGGCTGCTGGAACAAGTTATGGTCACTGTACTGAGGTAGGGATGCTGGACCAACCAAGTTATGGTCACTGGACCAAATTACAGCTGCTAGACCAAGCTATGGTCTCTGGCCCGTATAGCAGCTGGACAAAGCTATGGCGACCGGTGCATACAGCAGCTGGACCAGGCTATGGCAACTGGACCTGGTTATGACTGCTGGACCAAGTTACCGGCGCTATACCAAGTTACGGCTACTGGACCAAGTTACGGCTACTGGATCAAGTTATGGTCACTGGACCAAGTTACAGCTGCAGAACCAAGTTATGGCCGGTCGACCATAACTTGGTCACCGGACCAAGGTACGGCTGCTGGAGCATGTTATGGCTGGCGAATGGTCCAGAGATGTTTGGATTGAAGATAGGGCCCCATTTCAATTAGGGTGTGGCAGGCCTGTTGAGTTGGGCATCATCCAGAGTCATTTTGAAACATGCTCAGTTAGGATCTCAAGGCATTGTATGGTTCACAAGGTGAAACAAGCTAGAGCATATGTTTGAGGTGGATCCCGTAAGATTTTATGGAATAAACTTCAATAAAGATTCAAATTATATATATAAAAAGAGGTGGATAAGGTGTGGTGGATAAGGTAAAAAAAAAAAAAAAAAAAAGGTAAAAAAAAAAGAGAAAAGTGTGGATACGGTGTAGATAAATTGCCGATAAGGCGCAGATAAGGTCCAGTTCTTGGCCTTGAAACGGGTTTTGAAAATTGCTCTGAAATTGAACTGGAAAGAGACTGTGAAGGACGTACCTGTTTGCCTGCCTTGTGGCTGAATGGTAAACGGATGTAGACGTTATTAGTAAACAAAAAGATCGTGAGTTCGAATCCTTATGGATACGGTACTGTTAGGGGATAACACCCCCCTCTCTCTTTTTTGTGTAACAAGTTCCTAACGGTATTGGCTGTTCGCTGGCTTGTACAGACCTGCCTGGTTGGACAAACATGCGTGTCGCGATTGTTGATAACTGGGAGAATGGCGCAAGTCAATAGTTTCCGTCTTGCCGTCTGACAGGCTCCTTAGAAAAGGCTGGTAGGTAGCAGTAATTGACTAAGTGATAGTGTGGAGAATGGTCGATAATCAGTTGGACAAAGTTATGGTGGTTGCACAAAGTTATGGGTCGGTAATCGGTTGCACGAACTTACGTGTCACGACGTCGGTAATGGGATAGCAACTCAAGACAACAGTTCCGTCTTTGGTTCCGCCTGTTTCTTTCGAAAAGACTGGTAGGAAGAGAGACGTGGAGAGGAGGAGAGAGGTGGGAAGAGGAGGAGAGAGACGTGGGAAGAGGAGAGAGAAGACGTGGGAAGAGGAGAGAGAAGACGTGGGAAGAGGAGAGATACGAGGGGAGGGAGCAGGAGGGCAGGGTGAGGAAGACGGATGTGCAGAGTGCAGTGATGCGTACGAAAAATCAATTGGTCAATAAGTTCTAGATCAGTCTGGCATCAAAATGTTGACGTGGAGCTGTCATGGAACAATTTCTTTTTTTTTTTGGGGGGGGGGTTAAGTTACGGTCATGACACCTTTGAGTATCGAATGGGCAGAAAAAACACACGTCGCCAGCAAAGAAAACTGTGCCAGTTTGAAAAGGCAACGGAAGTCCCGACGGCCGTGGTGTCAGATCGGGTGCCATATTTACAGGGGTTGGCCGTGGTGTCAGAGGGGAGAACAAAAAAAAGAAGAAAATGCCCAACGGATACTTTTGGACCGCAATCGCTCATTTTGAGTTGGCGCGTGGTTTCTTTGCCGGCGCAAATCTTTTTTGCCTTTAGGGTTTCAAAACATGCCGCAGCCGCTGTTATTTCTTTTTTTTTTGTGTGGTTGGCTAGTGTGTAGTAGTACATCTGTGTCAATTTCGGAGAGGAGCATCCAATTGTGTGCCGAGTCAATGGCTGTTTCTTCATCTTATCTTATCAGATTTAATTCGAGTTTTTAATGCGAAACAGGAGAATTTTGGGGCAACACAGGAAGTGCAAGGGAAGGTGTAAAAAAAAAAGTAGGAAGGAAGCTAACGTGGAATTTATGAAGAGCAGGAGGGGAAAGAGTGGGTAGATAGATGTACATGCGTTTTGGCTGAGTGGTACACACATGTAAGTGTTAATGAACAGATCATGTGGTCAATTTTCAGACCCTGTAGGATCCAGCACCCCGTACCCCTTTAGAAACAATAATGAAGGGTGGAGAGGTAGATGGCAGGTGTGTGGAGGGGAAAACAAGGAGAGAATGATTCAGTTGTGTAGAACTCATCGAAGCTGCCAGCAACTTGCATGTGCAGTTGTCATTTGCTGTTTTCTCACACTTTGATATTATGATGTTGTGTCTGTTTGCCTGCCTGTTTGTCTGTCTGCCCTTTACGTGTTGGGTCAGTGAGTATTGTCTACCTGCAGGGCACAAGGGTGTGCACGTGATTCCCGAGTCTTGTCTGCTGCGGATATTTGCGAAGCTGCCTCCCACAAGCTTGGTTGCTGCGAGTGGGGCGTGCCGAAGATGGCGGCAGACCTCATTGCGAGTTTGGGCAGCCGTGAGGGAAATGCGGTTGGTTCTCCGCGGATCGTCAAGTGTGTCACTTGTTGTAGAGGATGCAAGGCAGACACGAGCAACTCCGAGGGAGTATGTGCCGTTCATGCTGCAACATTGCCCGGACCTCCAGAGTCTATCACTGGTAATTGGAAGGTGAGGCCATCTACACACCACGCGTTTTCTCCTCCCGCAGGAGAGACACCCCCTGGTACCCCTCCTCTCTGAAGGAAGGAAGGGCCGTCTGAACCCCTCATCCCCTCACCCGCTCACAGGTGCTGGAGAACTACCCACCCATGGTTACCCTTTTCTCGTTAGTTGAAGTCCGTCGCTGATTGTCGAACGGTGCTCTGCTGGAGCAGCATGGTCTGTTTGTCGGTGCCTGCAGAAGCAGTGTGGATGATGGCCAGACCCTGCCGTTGCTGTGTTGGTGCTGAAAGAACTTGGAAGAAGCAAGCCCGTCTGGTTTCCCAAGCACAAGGATAGCATCAGTGGGGCGTTTTAGGCCTAACAAGGCCCTGGGAATGACCACCGTTGTAATTTGTTCCATGTCATGTGCTCTCTTTGCCTCTGGCCTTTGTTCGTTCGCCTGCTTCCCTGTTTGTAGGGTCACGTGACTCGTAACACCGTAGTCGATCAGTTTGGTTGTTGTGTTCATGGGCAGTTGTCTAGTAAAGATTTTGGACGTGATTGCGCTTGGAAAAATCATAAAAGCGCAATATGCTGTGCCGCTTAGAGAGGTGACTGACGTACTGACGATCGTGTTGTTGTGGAGCTGAAGGAACGATGCTGTGCGCATTCCTACCGCATGACTGTGGGCGAAGGATTCATTTACAACTTTACATTGCCAGGCATCTGTTGCTGATGTCTTGTGTTCCTCTCCGTAGATACCGCCTTCACCCGAAAAGGCATCCAGATCATGAATTTATACCAGCTATCTTTTTGGTTGGATATAGTCATGATGAGGGTGCGTTGTGTTTTTTTGGGGGAATGGTAGCATGTAGCTGCTCTGGATTTGCTGACGGGGAGTGACAGTGATAGTACCGCAAGCCTCGAAATCCTTTGTTGTAGCAATTTGTGGATTCCTTGTTCTTTTGTTCCTTCGTTCCTTTGCTCCTTCCTTCCTTCCTTCGTTCCTTCTTTCCTTCCTTCCTTCCTTTTCGTTCATTCTTCCATTCATTCATGTGGTTATGATTTATAAATATTAAAGACTGCAGACGGAGATGTATCTGGCGGTTGTTAGCTCCGTCGACAAAACAAGGGCGAGAGCTATCATTCATGTCTGGCTCAGACCGTGCTCGGCACAATTGCAAATCTAATAATCTAAAACCATTAGCATGGCGCAGATGGGGAAACTTTACTCTGTGCTGTGTTTTCCAGATCCCTTGGTTAACGTAATAACAGATCGACAGCTATCTGATCGATGGCTTGTCGTTTTCTCTTAGTTCTCTCCATCTGATGACGTTTAATGTCAGGTGTCTTCTACTTTCTTTCTCAGCGTGTTAGTTGACCAACTCCATTGCCTGAAGTCAACTCATGCCTAATTCCATTGTTGACTTCCCGAGTCCTCGCCCGGGTGTGTCAGCGAACAACAGATGCACTCGGCCAGCTCTATTATTATAATACTGACATCTATCTATCTTTGTCTGATCTGCGAACATTATATCCAATCTGATCATCTGATTGTGAATCACCGTCTAGCTTTAGCATATTATTTCTTTAATAACCTCCAATTGTCCTTCGGACGTGCTTCGCGAGAAAAGAGGCGAGCAGTCAATTGTGTTCGTTGGAGCCTGCATTGCAATGAGCCTGACCTTGAGTAGGTGAGTAAACCTCCTCGCGCCTTGGCATCAAGAGCCAGATCTTCTTTAATGTCTTGCAAATGGGCTTTTGCTGCCTCAATCTGCATCCTGACAGCAGAGGCTGGCCAATAGCCGCAGCTCTCCTCTGGACAACCACGGCAGGCCTTGGCTGGCCAACCCAGGTCACACCCCCTTGTTAGCATACCAATGCGATCCAAGCGGTAGGCATTGGCGCCGGGGGGGGAAGGGAAGGGGGAGCGAGCTCAATCCGGAAAGTTAATTGTTGCGGCATTAACATACATACATTCATAATTTTACACCTATGATGACCTATCGCCTCATCCTATTATGAGCGGCATCGCTCCGCTTGTATTGCCTCCTAACTGGTAGAATGGAAGAGAGCTGAGACGCTACGAATCCTCTTTGTGTGTAAACCCTGGGCCAGGAGTCCATTGCTTGCCAAGGCAGTTCGGGAGGGTCGATCCAATACACGAGGCGGACATCTGATTCCAGAACGCTTACGGACTTTCATCCTTTGTAAAATCTGACTCCAACATCCTTGTGTGAGCTATGGATAACAAAAACAATTGAGTTGTGAGAGGCTTCAGAAAGTTCAGCTTCATTGGAGCGGTCTTTTATCTTTGATTCTTGCTCCTTGTATGGATGTTTTTCCATCCTTCCTTTTTTGTTGCAAGAAGGGTGACGGCCTTATATATCATCATCGAACTGACCGGCTCTAGGTAATTTGGAATAATTGTAATATTTTACTCATCTGCTTCTAGTGGAGTTCGAGCTCAGGTCTCTATTTCAACAGTCCAGGGGTGTACCAACTGAGCTAGGCCAGTTGGTGCCATCCATCCATCCTTCCACTGCCAAACTCGCTTTTTTGCTGTGGCTGCTACTCACTCTCTAGCTGTCCCTTTTTTTTTTCCCCCCCTTTGGCGTATCTGCTTTTTGGCAGTTTTTGCCGGTCTCCCGGCAGAGAGGTAGTCTGCGATAGCTAGCTCTCTGAGGGGTTTCTTGTAGAATTTTTTTGAAGCAACTTTTGTGCTTGTGGTCTAGCTTTCCCCTCTTCATGACCGGCTGTAGCAGCATCCACTCTTTGATCACTTCAGCACATTTTCCCCCTGATTCTCTTCAGCTCCATTGCTTGGCCCTCATCTGTGCCCAACTCAGTGGATTGTCATTCTTACCTCCTCCTGTAGGGTTGTTCTGTCCCCTCTTGAGTGTGTAACATGGACCCATCCAGTGACCCTATGCGCCGATACTTCTGAGGTGCGGTTTTCCCTACAACCGGTTCCGAGTCCGATTACCTAGTCCGATTCTCTTGCCCATTTCCGCACTTTGGCCTGCCACCTGAGGGACGTTTCTCTCTTTCGTGTATCATGGGTAGTTTTGGGATAGCGTTGGTGCATACCTTTTTTGTCTTCCCAATCATCCGAATCACCCAACCATTATTCTTCCTCGTATATCTTTTTTTTTTTCTTCTTTTTTCTTTTTTAAAGGCCTACGGCCGTGAGATATCGTCATGCAACTGACTGGCGCTAGGTATTCGGAATTGTAGTATTTTACTTTTTTATTACTCTTTTATTTCCACTGGAGTTCGACCTCGGGTCTGTATTATTTCAACAGTTCAGGTCCGGGGGGGTGTACCAACTGAGGTACTAGGCCAGTTCCTTCGCCCTCTTATATCGTTTAATAAGATTTTAATTTCTAAACAATGTGTGGATGCGCGAATGTCAGCTCACCTGGCAGGTTGTGACAATGGTCGTGAGGGTGGAGAGAAAAGAGTCGTCGAGGAAAGGAAGGAGTATTGTGAGGTAAAGGGACCCCGTTCACAATTTTTTTGACGGATCTGGTTCCACTGATATGTATGGTCCTGCCTCCTATTATGCCCAGGAATTTAGCGAATTGTCAATGTAAATTGTGGTATTTCAGACTAATTCTGTCATTTTCTTGATCATTTCTCGCCTCCCCTCTTGCTTCGTACTTGGTGGTATGGTAACTATGTAGTGTTTTGAGCTTGTTCCTTTGGAGCCATGCTGCCAAGTGTTGCACCCCGCCTCCCATGGTATATAGTTGGTAGGTTCGTGCCAGGGTTTCGCAGGCTGGCGCTGCTGTTCAGGGTGCCACTCCGATGAACTGGCTTTCTTTGTACTGATTCCATCCCACGGATTGGAGAAGATCAGTGATATGTTGATAACTAATCCCTGTGTTTGTTGATCCATCCGTCCGTTGTTTGCTATCTTTGATTTGTTTAACGTTCGTTCTCGACTCCATCGTCCGACTTCGTTCAACTCCATTGGCATAATTTGTGATTGATCTATTGCCCGAAACTTCTCTCTTTTTGATATTTTTTGAAGTTTTTTTCTACGCTTGGTAGTTGTAGTTGACGAGCCCCAGAAAGCGCTGCGGGCGAAAAAAGAAACGAAGGAAAATGGCTATCAGGTGTCTCCCACTATTGTCGTAGACTCGTAGGTAGCTTCAATGGCTCATCTTGTAAATTGGTAAAGTTGTGTAGACAAATCCTAAAATGAAAGAATTATCTCTCTCCTTTCATCTTAAGCAAGTGGTGGTACAGGCCTGCCTACAGGGGCAAAGGGGCAGGCCTGACTGACTGGTGCTATGTACATAGTACTTCATACTTAGAAGAATGAAAGGTTAAGGTTCATTGTAGCCTTCACATGAACATAGCACCAGTAGGTGCGCCCTGGTCCAAGGCTCAACTCTTTGTTTTTGTTTTTGTTTTTGTTTTTTGGCTCTCTAAGAGAGTTGATGAGCATGGAATAGGATGGCTGGATTTATATTTTAATAATAATTTTAATATTGTTTCAATATTGTTTGTTAGTTGAAGTCACTGATTTCAGTGTGTATAACATTTCAGAACCACAGTCGTTCCCCAAACACAACCTTCGCACCATTTCAGATCATGGATGCACACAGGCTATATTTCCGGTCCGATACGCTCGTAATGAGGAGGGTGCGTTGTGCGCGCGGGAAGATGGTAGCCTCTTTCTTTATCCATGAGCTCTATTTCCAGTTCTCCATCCACCTCTGCATTGTAGTGCTCACTCGACGACTGCGGACAAAACGCTTCTGCTCAACCTTGAGTGGACGTGATCTGGTGCACACGATCTTTGAGCTCTTTTTTCTTGCCAGTCCGTCGTGTAACGATGCACTTTCTCAAAGAAAGCTTCCTTAGTCCACAAAATGAATCTCCTTTCTTGGCAGCACGTAAGGGCTCATTCCATGACTCAACAAATGTGCAAAATGAGAACGAATCTTGCGCTAGAACATCGGAAGATGCACCACAATAAGTTTCTCTTGCGCATGTGGTGCCTGGTGGAGCGACGCCCTATGTCTGTATTTGTATTCCAACACTGCTGGGGTACTTTCGCAATGTTTCCTACCAAAGGCACCACTTCTGCATCCCTCCTCCTAGGGCACTATTACACGGCGCGGTTGTGGGCATCATCTTTTTTTCTTTTTTCTTTTTCTTTTTCTTTTTTTGCTCTTGCCATTACCTGGGAAAGATGTCGAGCAGCAGTCAGCCATTCTTCTTCCCTCTCTCTCTCTCTCTCTCTCTTGTCATGGAGACGTTCTATGCTGTACTTAAAATGCCACTGATCGATCAAATTGCATGGTGGTGGGTGTGGTGTGCATGGTACAGCCGCATTGACGATTCCCTACTTGAGATGATTGCGGTTTCCAGCCCGCGGCTTTCAATGCTCCATGTCCAAATGAGAGATGGGGCCGTCAACAGAATAACTGGGTAGGTGGTGGATACAACCTCATCGGCCTGTCGGCCTCGATGCAATCCTTCCCATGTATGTAAGTGGAGTGGTGTCTCATCCAGCGTAGTACCTGTTTTCCTATTTTAGAGGTTAGTTTGTTGTTGGGAAATATAAAATGCAAAATGCAGAACAGTCTTTAAGAACGAAGATTTTTTTGTCAATTTTGGACCAGTGCACTGGATCAACTAGAGGGGGGGGGGGGGTTGGGGGTTATAGAGGGGGCTAAAAGGGGTCCCAATTATTTGTGAAACGTCAAACTGCGACTTCATCTCTGTACATAAATAATTTTTTGTGACCTGACACCCTGATGAAGTATTGGTTGCATCGGTGGTTTCCAACCCTGAATCTCAGACCCAATAAAAACAAAGAAAAAAGGGGGGTTTACCTGACCGGTCGGTGGCCTGGTAGGGCGGCCGACATGCGGTGAGCAACGTGTCGAGGCTAGGTCTGTGCCCAGGTCCCGGCAAGCGGAACAAAAAAATCACAAAAGAAATCTGGAAAAAGTTCCCCCAAAAATCGTGTACACTGTACAATTTGTAGAATTGGAATACAAACAACTTTTGGCTGATGGCAATTTGGAATTGCGTACAAAATTTCAAGATATCAACTGGAATTTGATTTTTTTTAGAAAATAGTGAAAAATTGAAAATCAAATTATTATACCACCACCCTCTAAACACTTTTGAGATCGGAACCCCTTCGAACCCCGGTCAGAGCCTTCTGCCCCCCCCCCCCCCCCCCCCCCCCACCGCCCTAGGTGAACCATAACCAAACTTGAAGACGAGGCCAGATTTGGACTGCCCAGGTCTAGTGCAGAAGTAGCCTGAGGTCAAGACTCTTTTTTTTGTTTTCCCCCTTTGTTTTTTGTTTGATTTTTTCATTTTTTTTGTCTCCCTTTTTGGGCCTTTCAGGGTAGGGTATGGGGTGCCCGGGGCTGGGTGCAGGGCATGTCTGGCTGGGCAACGAGTGTAAGGTAGCTTTAAAGTCTGAAGTTTTAAACGCTGAAAGGCTAAAACAAAAAGGTTCAAATAATCTAAATAAAAAGGAAGAAAAGGTGCATTCAGAGATCTGAAGCCTTAAAAAAGTTAGATGCCTTGCAGCCTAAAAAAAAAGGAAAAAAACGTTTATAAATCGCTACAATCTTGGGGGACCCTAGAAATGCCTCCAAGACTAAAAAAGCCCTAAAAAACCGTTCATAAAGACCTCCAGTGCTGGCACCCTTAGAGACAAACTAAAGAGAACTAAAATTAAAAAGTAAAAAAAAAAACTAAACCGTAGGCTACCAGGGTGGCCCGGGACCACTTCCCCGCCCGGGGCAAAAAAAAAAAAAAAAAAGGAATAAAAGTAAAAAAGTTGTTATTTTATTTTATCTTTTGTTTTAAATTTGGCAAAGAATTTCGATGTGACCCTGAGGCAAAAGTTGTTCAGTTTATGATTCTGCATAATAACATGCCTTTTTAAACTCTTTTCAGTTTTTTTTTTATATATATTTTTTGTGCTGGGACCTTCTACGGTCCTTGCACAGCCGGGCAGCCCGAGCAAACAAGATGACCCGGGAGGCCCGGCTGGTAGCCCAGCCTAAACCCTAAAAGCCCTAAACTTGAGTCCAAAACCCCTCCAAATCCCCTCCAGGTCTAAAACTCCCAAAACCCTAAACCCTAAATTCCCAAGAACCAAGGGATGTAAGCCGTTTCCAACCCTTAACCCTAAAGCATCCTGAAACCTAAACCCTTAAGAAAGAATCCTGATAGTCCACAGCCATGGCTGTCACCATAAAACCCTAAACCCTAACGGCCCCAAAATTGTAAACTCTTAAGCTGCAAATTGAAATTTCAAAATCCTTTGTGCTTCAATATCTTTCAACCACCATGGTTCTATCATTTGTATTTCAATCTTCAACTCTAAACCCTAAACCTTAAACCCTCGAATGCTGAGCATTCGTTCCGTCTCCCCAAAAGTGTGAGCTTGTAAGCAGGTCTTGAAGGGTGATTAATAAATTAAATAAATAATGACCAATGGGACTTAACTCCAACTGTGGGACTGAAAACGTGCGAAAGTCATCAGATCAGAAAGGAGAGGGTTAACTAGGGTTTTTTTTTGGTGGGGGGGGGG